TGCAGAGAATTTTTTGTGCCTATTTGGGTCACCATATGGGAATGGTGGTTCATCTAGAGAGAGAGGAGTAGGGCATCTTGTGCATAAGATGTAAGGTTAGGTTTCCTTTTAGAGGTAAGACAGCTTCAAGATAGTGCCTCTTGCACAGTGAGAGGGTGTTTTTTTTTTTAGAGAAACGATTCCTCTTAAAGGTAAGAGAGTTTCAAGATGGTGCCTCTTGCATAGTGAGAGAGTGTTTTTTTTTATTAGAGAAACGGTTTTCATGGAGATTTTTAATGGTTTCCCTAATATGAATGATTACAATGATCTAGAGAATGATATATCTAGAGAAAGATAATGATAATGATATATTGATAATGTTAATGATATATTGTAATCTCTTTCTAATGTATATAAATTTGTTGTAATCACATCTTTGATTGAGTCAATCAAAGATGAGTACATATCAATTATAAATAGAACCCTCATCCCACTCTATGAGGTGCGGAGAATTCTACAGAAATATTGTCCTCTAAATTTCTTCTCCCAAAAAAAAAAATCTCGTCAAAAAAAAAAACTTTCGTCTCCAAAATAACAAAAAATCTCATCAAAAACTTTCTCTAGTCTCTAAAAGAAAAATATATTTAGCCTCGTCCAACCGACTTACGTCTTCGTCAAAAAATTTGTATCTAGTCTCGTCCATCTCGTCCAACCCACTTGCACCTAATGCCTTTCCCTGATCTCGTCCATATAAAAAAAAAAAAGTAAAATAAAATAAAATAAAATAAAAAATAATAAAATAATAATAATAATTATCAGCTCTTGCCCTTCATTGTTGTCCCTCTCTCTATACAGATTTCCAATTCTCTCTCTCTAGAATTCCCTAATTCTTTATAAAATCAGCACTCTATTCATTCGCTTCTCTATTAAAAGCAAAGCTCTCCTGTTTAATTCTGAATCTTTCAATATTCAACACCATAAAATCTTTTACAATCAAACTTCTCTTTCTTTGATAACGGCAAACAAAACACCCAATACCTTCTTTTCTCGACTAACCTTCTCTTTCTCATTCTTTTTGTTGCTAGATAAATCCAATCTCAAGCTCTCTATCTCTTTTTCACGTCCAAACTCGAAACATATTGTTTTAAAAAGCCATCTGCGTCTCTTTTCTCTACAAAGAACCTCAATTTGTTTTTGCACTCTATAACTATTATCATGTCTTCATCTATCCAATTTCGAAACTTTCTTCCTCACCTTATGGCAATCAAGCTCTCCAATAACAATTTTCTAATATGGAAAGGTCAAATCATTCTTATTGCTAGATGACAATGCATCATGGGACATCTTGATGGTTCTACACCGGAGCCTTCTAAATTTCTCCTCTCTGATAACGACTAATCCAGAATATGAACATAACTAATCCAGAACATGAACAGTGGTATGCTTGTAATCAACTAATCATAGCATAGATAAACTCTACGTTGTTCCTTGATATTTTGGCACAAGTTCCTGACATTGCCACCACAAAAGATCTCTGGTCCACCCTTCACGATTCCTTTGCGCAACAATCTAAGTTGCGATTGATTCACCTTCACATCAAGCTTCAACATTGTACACGTAGGGCACAATCCATTCAAGAGTATTTAAATAAGATGAAATCTCTCTTTGATCAGTTGGCCATTATCCAACATCCAGTTGATGATAAGGAAAAAGTTCGCTATGTTTTACGTGGGCTTGGTGAGGAATACAAAATGTTTGTTACTTCAGTTATAGCTCGACCACCTCTCCTGTCATATACATCTCTCCGTCCTCTTCTACTTGAATCTTTCACCTATGGAAAACAATGACTCAACTGTTGTATTTAGACCCACACATGAGGCTCTCTATGCTTCCTCTCAAATGTCCAAAGGGAGAGGAAAAGGACGAGGTCATGGAAGATGAAGAGGATAAAGTCATGGCAATCCCGCTGGTGGTCAAGTGGTTTGTCTCCCTATCTCGACCGTGGCAATCTTAGTAGTTCTCAAGGTGGCCCACCACATTATGTAAGTCCATGAAGAGGACTTCTATGAACACCACCAATACATCCTATGAATAGGACCAATGTTGAATCTTGTCAAATCTGTTTTCATACAAGCCATCTCACTCCTCATTGTTATTATCGCTACTTTCAGCAAAACTCTCAAAACAATCCTAATACTTTGACTTACTCTCTTGGGTCTATGTCTCTCACCACAACGTCTGAGGCAAGTTGGGTTGTGGACACTGGAGCTACAAATCATGTAGCTAATGACTCATGTATGCTTGTAGATGTTATTCCCTATAATGGATCATGTCGTATTATTAGGAGTGGTGCTTCATCAGTTCTCATCTCACATATTTGTACTGCCTCTGTTGCTTTGTCCATAGGTTCCCTAAAAGCACGTAATGTTTTTCTTACTCCTAATTATTGTTTCAACTACAAACAACTTGCTGATATTTTTACAAAATGTCTTCCTACTTCACAACATCGTTCGATAGCAAACAAGTTGTCCATGTTTCACATTGACAATAGTTTGAGGCGGAGTAATAAGAATGATGATAAGGATCTAGATAATGATATATCTAGAGAATGATAATAATAATGATATATTGTAATATTTTTCTTATATCTACAGATTTGTTGTAATCACATCTTTGATTTAGTCAATCAATGATGAGTACATAATAATTATAAATAGAACCATCATCCCTCTCTATGGGGTGCGGAGAATTCTTTATAAATATTGTCCTCTAAATTTCTTCATTCCCCTTTTTAGTTACAGAAAAATTCAGTTTCTTGTTGCTCTCGCGTCTCTATCTGATGTTGTTAGTAATAGTTGCCAGAATTATAGAGAATAAAGGGAGAGTGGTTTAAAAGGGTGTGCTTGACTTGGGTTTTTGTTAGGTTTAGAGAGGTAACTCTATGTCTCAAAATCTTTTATATAACTTTTATTGGTATAGTAGATTTCTGTTTATCGTGCTCGTATATGTGGCTTTTTTGGGGTGAACCACGTAAATCTTTGCGTAATGTTCTAAAGATAGATATAGTTGATGAGAGATAGAGATATTTGAGGATAGTTTTTAATTTTTATTTAGCTTGTATTTGATGTAGATATCTCTCTTGATAAGACTATCTTAGTTCGTCATTATCAATAACTAATTAGCCGTATATTTATACGCGACTTTGTATATTCTTGACAATTAATCAATACATAGAGATTTCTCTGGAGGATTCAAATTTTAACGTGGAATTAGAGCCTCATCTCTCTCTTGATCGTGGTCCATGTGGGTTCGTCCATAGTTGTTGAACGAGTTGAAGCCGTTCCTTTGCCATATCAATCATCTCACTCGTTCTTGGCTTTGCCTTTGCAAGCTTAGTCAAATTTTCATATTGCAAAGCTGGATTTATTTTTTTGAACAGAAACACCAATCTCCAAATTGTCGTCCCTCACAGAAACCCCAACAACCCCATATCTTATTTTCTCTTGCTTTCTTTTTACGCAATTCATCTGCCTGTCTCTTCTGTTGCTCTAAATTTCTTTAGATTTCTCCCTCAATAATCCTTTTATTCCTCAATTCCTTATTCTCACCCTCTGAACTCCTAACCAGTAACTATAAAAAGCCAATCCCTACATATAATCGCCTTGTAAATTCCTCGTCAACAGAGCATCCTAAACAATCAACCCATCCATATTCATAAGATTGGCATAATTCACTTTGTTTGTATGGATTTTATCGAATAAATCACCATAACCTTTGTAAAAGCCATGGCAGATCGTTACCTTTTGTTTTAGCCAACCCTAATATTTTTGAGGTGGTAAAACATTCATCTCTCTCTCTCTCTCTCTCGAATTTTTTTGAGCTCCCTTTCTTTTATTTCTTGTTTTCCTTCTCTCACCTCATGTGGAATATATAACACATGAGCAACCATGTGTTAAAATGAGGTCGTGCGTTTGGAGGTGGTTGATGCCTGGTTTGTGTTGGGCCTTTTGGGTTTGATTCGGCTTTAGAGAAGAGTGGGTTTATTTGATTTTGCATCTGAGTTTGATCTCAGATCCATATTCTTATTCTTGATCACGTTTGTGAGTTCTACTACAACATGCACATGGCTTCTGAAAAAGGATATGTATTGGCTACAAAACTTGATGGGAAAAACTATCCCGATTAGCAATTTCATTTTCAATTTTATGTTGAAGGGAAATGTTTGTGGAGGTATGTTGATGGCACTGAACCTGAACCGACTACACCCAATACTAAAGATACCCAACAATGGAAGATCAACAATACAAAAATTATCTCATGGATCCTCGGCTCTGTAGATCTGGATATTGGAAGGCCAATGAGAGGCTTCCGTATCGTGAAAGAAATGTGGGAATATTTGAA